AGTTTTATAGTCAAATTTGTCCTTGAAATACTTAAAACAAGATAAAATGTTTTTTTAACTGTTTTGTAGCTGATCTGCTGCAGTTTGAATTTTTTTTATATTGAGCTTATTTTTAGGTTTTTACATTTAGAATTAAGAAACATGAACAGTGCGTATTATTATTTAGCACATTATCGTGTACAATTCAGATTCTCTTTAAATGTAAACATGATTTAAACATATTGTCCATTGTTGTCTGATGCCATTAAAAACACAGCACTGATAGGATTTTAATGATGATGGACGACTGATGACGGAATTGACTTCTATTTAGCATCAGCAGCAGTCAGCTGACGTGTATTATTCTGTGGTAGCACTTATTTTTAAGTTTTATAGGATTAATAAATGCAGTACAGTCACAGTCACAAGTACAATCACAAGCAGATTTTATAAATGTAATAACAAACTATATATATTTATATATAGTTATATTTCCAAGCTTAGTCATTATGAATCTGCATCGTGGGCGACTTGATGAGACTCCAAACATTTCCTAAGTTGTTGTCTGTCACTTCATCTGTGATCTTCTTCCCTGCTCCCTGTCAGTCCAGCCATCTCATCTGTCTTTGTTTCATCAGCAGTTTGTCCATCATGCTCCATGATGTCCCCTTGTCCTCATCTCTCTGTCCTCCTGGCTGTCTTTCATTTCCCTGCTGTCCTCTCTGTCTCAGGGGGTTCAGTCGTGGTTCCAGGCCCAGCTGCTGAGCCTCACTGTAAAGCGTTCGTCTGATTGGAGCGGACATTTTTCCAATGGTGCAACTCTGCATCTAATATTTTGTTTGTTGCTGGGCGTGACTGGATGTAATGAAACTCACCGTCTAACACATACATTCTTTAACACTCTCTGTGTAATGCAATGGTCATACCAGGGGTCTGCAACCTGGGGCTCATCAGCTTTAGCATCTTCAGCGTTTTGCAATTAGTCCTTGTGAGTTTGACTGATGGACCTTAAAGGGATGGAGTTCAAGGGAAACAACAGGTGAAGTTTTACAAAATCCTTCCAATGACCCAATATTTTGTAATTTTCTTTCAAACAGCAAGTCAATATAATGTCACAGTCTCTCCTAAAGTAAGATCTGTTGTGCAATTTTACAGCAGCATAATTAATGTTGACTCCAGTTCAGTGTCAGTAATAGTAGTGCATGCCTCATACTTAATACTGAATTTAATTGTGTTGGAGTTGATCACTGCCTTCTTGTAGAAAATTGCATCATTTTTTTCCTGTGGTTAAACAACAGGTTAAACATCAATACGTTATCAACAGTTTTCATGTTGTACTTCTATACAAGTCTGCAGCACAATTACAGTACAGTTATACTAAGTTTGGTGGTAAAAATGATAAAAAAGGACTCTTGCTGTCGAATGTCACTGCCCCCTGGTGTGCACTCTCATCGTCAGGTGTGCAGCAGATATGACTCTGTGGCCTGGTACGCCAACACATGCCTCCTCACTTTAGGAAATGACTACCCGTGCTATTGTAGAGGTGGGAAACTGCTACTGTTGAGTGAGGTGTTGTAGTGAGGTCATTAACAGCGTGGGCAGAGACTCCTGCTCTTCTCTCTCTTCATCAACTCTTTATAATATAATAACCTTCTTTTACTTCTCATACTTACATTACGCTTGGCCTTAGGCCCAAACTGCTGCACTCTTGTGTTAAATAACATCTCTCCTCTACTTTTCCTCACCCCCTCTCCCCTAACACCCCCTCCTCCACGGCCCAATCCCTCCTTAATAACTCTATAACTCACCTCAGCCTTAGATTTAATTGCTTATCTGTGTGTAAACGTATTAACCCTCTGCTGTATCTGTTTTGCCGCTGTCCCGGGGGCCCGACAAGCCTCTCTGACTGCTGTGCCTTACATCCAATGAATAGTCCTTCTCTAAGCGGTAATAGGGAATCAGCATCGTGGCAGCAAGCATCGGCGGCGTGTAAGAGATAAATCAGATTGGGGGTCTTGCTTTGCCAGTTTATTGAATCTAAATTGCGTGCGCGCGTGGCCCCCGCCGGCCCTACATGGCCCATCCATCTCCCGGCTGATAATGGAGCGGGCCCGATTCCACCTGGTAGGAGCATTATTACATTTCCCCTCTAACGAGACCCAGCTAATCCTGCCAAGGGAGGAGGACAGAAGAGAGGAGCAAGAGGGGGACAGAAGAGAATATGAGAGGAGGGGAGACGACTAAAAGAGGATGTTTGGCCGAGAGGAAAAAAAAAAAATAGAGGAGGTTTTATTTGTTAAAAAACACCAACATCAGTCTTTTCCTTGCTGTTGCTCTGCATACATTTCCTACAGTCATCAGAGCCTCGTGGCCCCCTAACTCATGAGCTGCAATCACACTCATAATCACAATAAAGATTTCAATGACACCCCCCACCCACCCTCCTCCTGCTCTCTCCAGCCCTGCAGCCAGGACTGAACAGAGTCTAAATGAAGTGAAAGAACTCTCCTTTCCCACAACAGCCCGTCGTTTATTATACGTGCTTTAATGAAAGTCCATCACAAAATAATCCCACAATGAACTCGGTGAAGTTTCCAGGAAATGCACTTCCTGTACACGCAGGCTGCCACATGTGCAGTATTTCTTCAGTGCATCATTAAAGCGCTGATGTCGTTTTTGTCCCAATGTTAACAGGCTTTTCATGATAACTTTAACGCTGCTCACCGTGAGTTTATTTGGCATATTTTATCTTTCTTCTGTGCAGAAGTACTTATTGATGTAATTAAATTGCATCCCGAGCTCAGCTCACAGGCCCACTTTCATTGTTTTGAGGGGGCAGCAGCCCCGGGAGGCAGTACACTGATGAGAGATGGATAAACAGTTTGATTTGCTGCTGTTGCCCCCAGGCACAGTGTACCAGAGAGATGAGCAAGAGGAGGAAGAGAAAGCATGAACACAGGGCGGGATGGAAGAGGGCAAAGCTGAAAGAGAGAGAGAGAGAGCGGGAGGAAAAGCAAACCTTTTGGGCGGAGGGAATGAAGTACAGGATCAACACGCACACACAAGAAAGAGGCAACAAACGGTTCCTGTTGTTTATTTTCACGTGTTCTCTGAGCTTGTTTCTCCTAATGCTGCTCTGTCTCTCACTTCTTTTTTCCGCCGCGGCCTTTATCTATCTATCTGTCGATCTCCCCTTCCCCACTAACTCCCTCCAGCTCCATCACACCACCGACACTGCTTTGTCTCCTACCTGCCTCTCTGTAGCCCCAAGCCAAAGCAAACTGCAGAACACAGAAGAGAGTAAACACCGACACACACACACACACACACACACATACACACACACCCTCAGTGTAGACACAGCCCAAGGTTTGGTTTTAGCAGCTTCATACAAACAAACAGGCAGAATTATCAATGTTTTAGTCGAGACAAATAAGATGTTGTAGGTTTCAGTGAGGCATGTTTCCACACACACATCACACACACCACAGTTGGAGAGGGGGGGTGGGGGGGGAGTGGTTAGAGTAGGATTCAGTCATCCATGTAAAGTCATTGTTTGCTAAATATGTGGAACCCCTAGACTTAACCAGCCATAATAGCAGTGTGACAGTCTCTTTGTCTACGCCAATTACTAAACAAAAACAGCAGCGCTGTCACAGGGAGAGGAGTGCAACTCCTGGCCCTCCGTGCAACGCACACACACACACCAACCAACACACACACCAACACAGAAACACACTTCAATATGTGCTTGATATATTTTTATTGCGAATGCTTGCAGTGTAAGTTTTACCAGACACAGAGTCCTGTGCGTTCACCAAACACTCTCATCTTCTCTGGTTGTGAGATAAACCACATTTGGACTCCCACAGCACTGCCCTAAAAACAAACATCCTGTAAGTGCACACACACACACACACACACACTTACACCCAATCTCATACTGGATTAATTTCCCAAAAAACTGTGCAGAACTCTCACCCCCACTCCTCCTTCTCCTCCCTTCTCTCCTCACTCTCCCCTTCTTTGTGTACGTGTGTGTGTGTTTGTCTCTCACTCGCTTACAAACACACTCTTTTTTTAGTCTTCTCAAAGTTTAAACTCATTAAGTGTAATGATATTGGAGACTCAATTTTACATAGCTCACTCATCAACCAAGTGAGATAGCAATAAAGGCGAATGGCTCCGCTGAGGCCCTAACGCTGCAAAATAAATGATGCACCGCAACGGAAATGTAATTAATTTAGAGGTAGTATTGATAGTCCTGCCATACACGGCATTATATTTTTTAATGTGGCTTAACATCTTGATTATTCAGGGGGAAAGGTGGAGGAAAACAGAGTTGAGAGTGTCCTGAGGAGAGCTGACTTCCTCTGCATCGCTTTTTCTTTAGCTGATATATATATTGTATATACACACACACACACACACACACACACACACACACACACACACACACACACACACACACACACACACACAGAGAGAGACAGAGTGCTGACTTAAGTGGCAAACAGTACACACCTTTAGGAGAAACATGCTGGATGGTACAGGGGATTAAATAATATCGGTACATGTTGGTGCTTGGCAGAAAAATGAGAGCTCCAAGTTTGTTTGTTTTTATTGATCGGTGCGCTAACCTGATAAAGTGTCCTCTGGTCATTTTCTGTATTTGCTGTTTTGAGTAATCATTTTTTACACATGTCGGAAATACTGTGGAGAAATAACTACACATTTTAATTAGGCATTAATAAGGGAAATTGTTACATTTTTAGATGTTTAGACAGGGTTAAAATGTTTGAATATTACTAAGAGCAGAATGCACACCTTGAATGATGATTTTATATATTTTTAAATTTTATACGGAGATTTATTTCTTACTGTCATCATGTGAAGAAATTGTTTTTTTATTTTCTATTTATAATCTATAATGCCCTAATTTTCCGTTCTGCTGATCTTGATAGGAAACACCAAAAGTGACTGCATTACAGCTAACAATGTCTTCTTTATTTTTTCTTCAGCTAAGACTGATGAGGTGCTGAAGGCCAAAGTAGCCAAGAGAGAAGAGGAGGCCAGGAAGAAGTTAGAGGATGGTGAGTTTTGTATTTTTGAGTCACTGTCGTCTGTCAAAGATTAATTAAAACCATTAACGCAAAGGAACAATTTGGATTTTGATCAGATTTTGTTTTTGTGATTGGTCCAAAAAATATATATACTGTATACTTGGATTGTCAGGTTTTACGTTATTGCTGTTTTTGTGTTTCCTGTTGTTCCCACGTTAATTCTAACTATTTTCTTGGTTTCGGTGCTAGGCCTCCTTCTTCTGTTTCTTCTGTTTTCTTTTCTCCTCCTACTCCCTGTTTTACCAAGTCTCCTTCCTCCCACCTCCATTTGTCCTCATCAACCACTTCCACCTCTCTGCTAACCTCTTCTCTGTGAGGAAACATTGCCAAAGTGGTGACTAAGTGCTTCGCTCTGGGCAGCGTAGCAGAGCTCCCAGTCAAACAGTCTTTTTTTAAAGCTCGGTTCACATTTTGGGATCAGTTAACTCTTTCCGACTCTGCTCCGAGCCTCACTCCAGCTCTTGGTCTTTTGTATATTAAGGTGTTGTGTTTAATTGGAGCGATGGTGCCGTTCATGCAGTGCTGTCCCAGAGGACAGTCATTTCAGTCCTTGCCTTTCACTGGGCTACATGAGGGGAGATCAGAGACGCTCCACATTGATGTGGCCTTATATTGGCCAGGGGGCAGTGTCCCATAATATGTATCACACAAGACCTTCTTCCCAGTGTAACCAGAATGAGGGTTCTGGGTCACAGCCTGTAGTTTCCTCTGTTTGGCCTTTCGGGGGTCAACAAAAGTAGGGAGTTAACTTGACTGAAATGAGGAAGCATTTAAAAACAGATTGGAGGTGAAAAGTGAAGAACAGCACCACCTACACTCTCCGTTTGTAAATAGATCCTCGTTCCTGCCGTGGCGACGTGTTTGAGTTAGTTCAAGCCTAATCGAAAACCGCTGAGATCTGATTCATGTGGATGCTGTGATATGCACTCTATTATTGTAGGCAACTGTGGCTGCAGAGCCCTGCGAGAGGAGAGAGGTTTTTATATCAACTAGGTTTCACTGAGATACAGAAGGGAGAGGATCAATAACTGGCCCCGTGGTCATCAGTTAACAAAGTAGTCTCCACATAAAAGGAATGTTTGGCTCTCTGGTTAAGGGCAGCCAGATGATGCTGCTGGTGGAAGGAGGAAATGTGATATTAAGAATGAGAGGGGAGGATGGTTCCTTTGTCAGCTGCATGCCTTCTTTAAACTATTAAAGCTCAGAGATGCTGTTTGTGAGCCCCGGAGGCTCCGAGGAAACACAGTTATGACCAGCTATAATAAGAAGAACAAGACAGTCAGTGAAATTCACTTTGTGTGGACCGCAGGGTTGGCTGGCCGATGGGGAATGTAGTAGCAGGATATTTATAATACCAAGATTTTTGTATATTTTCACACTCAACCTAAACTGATTGATCCAAAATATTTTACAGATACAGATTCATGGTCTGGAAGACATTTATTGTCTGCAGTTTCTTACATTATTTGCATTTATTCCTGTATTTTTTTAAATAATATATAATGTTATGTTTCACATATTGTATTATTGATCAATTCATACACTAAATATGAAATTGGCTATTGGTAAACCTAACATGATAAAAAGTACAGATGTTTTAGGCAGGTGCTTACATTACTCTTATACTTTAGAACAAAAAGATATTCTCAACAATATTAAACATTTTATTTTCTTCAAATAAAAGAAGATGTTCTGGCACATGACTTCAAACAGGACCATTTGACTGCTGACACCTTATTTGGTGTGGCAGCACCTAATGTCACTGACTCTAAACACAGTATTGTCGTGATATTTTTCGTCCTTGGTGTCATTTCTGAAGCTACTTTTTTTTATTGTGCAGCCACTGTCTGATGCAGACCTGTGTATTAAGCACAGCTGCTTTACCTGCAGATGGTATTTGAGCCCCTGTGCTGCTCTTTCCCCATTACCTCAAACCAACCAGCAGATTGGGAGATCATATATTTTAATGAGACGTATAATAGCTCTTTAACCCATATCATTAGGGTATATATACCTACCATTTGCTCTTTGGGCAGTTAAACGAAAGGACTGTTTCCCTAATCACGCCATGTGTAGGACAGGTCATGGTTCGGGTGTGTACCTGTCTGTGTGTGTCTGTGTTCTGGAATTATATGACCATTAAATATTCAGCCTGGTGCCCCCCTCCCCTCTTCACTTCCTGGACCTAGCATCCATTAACGCCTCATCACCGTTTAACTAGCCCTGATGTCAATCACCGCAGGGCCGGGGATGAAACAAAATGTCTGGATTTGGTTCCTTGCAGAACTGATTCGAGGAACAGGGGAAACAAAAGACCGGCTAAGAAAACACATCCTTATAGATGTAGTCAAGGACAATCAATTTCCATAATGGCTGCATGTTCTGCAACATCGTTTGTGTGATATTATAGCTCTCTTAGGTATGATCACATGCTCTGCTGAACAATCCGTCAATCAGCTGAAAATTTCCGTTCTGCCGGTGAGCCTCCATGTGCAACAGCTCTGTCAGTGTGTGCATTTGTAATAAGTGATGTGTTCCCTTCCCTAATTGAAAATAATAACTAATCCAGGGATAACAAGCTCTCGTCTAATCCACATCCACATATAAACCTCCTGTTCTGGCCTATCTGACTTGTAATAAAAGACAGGAAATGAGAGGCAAGTGAGAGCGGTGGCTTGGACACTGACGCTTAATGTAATCTGCCTTGAAATCAAATTATTTGACCTGGGAAGCCTAACAATACAAAACTCCTGCCGGGCTGCTGTTAAATATTTAGCACGTGCCTGTCATGAATACAAATGGTGCGCAAATTAGAATCTACAGGCGCGTGACCCTCATATCACACCCTGGGAGCACGGCCGTGGGAGAGGGGTGGGGGGGTGGCGAGGGCTGGCTCTGCCTTAAATGTTTTAATTACCGGGGCCATGGTGTGGTGTACCACGCTAAGTTGCAGAGCAGCGTCAGCGGCGCTCGGGCTGCCACTTGAAAGACAAGCGTTGAAATTCATCCGCTGGTAAACAGGGGCGATCTGTTGTCCGTGATCTCATCACATTAACTAAAACAGCGGCGTTCACCGAGGAGAATGTCTGAAATATACCAGGCTTTCACTACAGTTCCCAGCAGCCACGCACACACACGGCACACCATGGCACACCATAATAATATTGTTGTTTTAACTCTGCTCCCTCCACTGGCCATATGATCCACCCCAGGACCCAGGGGAGGCGCTGTATTGCTGTTGTGCACTGTGCACTGAAGGAAGATCTGTCTCAGTGATTTTGATGTAAGAAAATCTGGTTTGTATTGATTGCGTATTGATTAGCGGAGTTAGCCCCATCTCCTGTCGTTACTTCAGATAAATGGCCTTATTTGTTGTGTTATTATGTTCAACACAATCATGCCAGGAACAGTCAGAGGAATATTGAGCCGACACTTCATTGGCTTCTATTTGTTCCAGGAATTAAAGGATGGTTTCTGTCCACACACTGTGATGTTAGTGTAAAAAGGAGAAAATTTCACATTTACTTTTTAAAAAAAAAAAAAAATATATATATATATATATACAGATATTGGCAAGTGCTCCACACTATTTCTCATTCTTGTCCTGCTTAAATAATGATTAATTTAGACATGAATAAGTGCCACAAACCCAGTCTCGCCTTATCTCTTTTTATTTCCCCGTTTCCTCCCTTTTCATTCATCGTGGTTCCCCCCAACGTTGAAATGATTAGTTATGCAAGGCTTGTAAGCAGTGAATCAGACTTATGGTCCCTGGGGAAATAAATTTGGCAGAAAATCAGTGTGAGAAGATTTAATTATCACGAGTAGACCTTTTTTTTCCCCCCTCCTTGCCTTGGCCCACTGAAGCCCAAACTCTGCTGCTCTCCTCTCTGGTGCTTTGCTCAGCTCCACATGCTGCAGCCAAAAAAACACTGGCATGCAACATGGACGCCATGCCGCCCTTCTCTTCCCAATTTGTTTCATTGCACAGTGATAAGCCAAGCAATTACTGCTTATTGATTTTTCATCACCGCAAATTTAGAGCTGAACCCCACCCCACCAACCACACACACACATCCCCGTCCCCCCTCTACCCCTACCCCACCTTCTGCCTGGGAAATGGCTCGACAGGGTGATTAGGTGACCTCCTGTGTCCTGAGCACTGCTGCTCCCGTGAAGGAGTGGAGGTGAATGCGGAATTCTTCTAACCTGGAGTGACCCCCGTGTTGTGCTGGGATAATGGGATGCTGATGCTGCCTGGTCCTGCTGTCACGTCTGCAGCTGCAGAGCAGAGACCTTAATAATATCTATAAGGATATCCTGGAGAACGACATCTTTGACTGGATAGCAGCGAGGCTGTCTCCGCAACAGGCCAGATTACACAGAAATCGACCGTGCAATTTCAAACTGTGTAGGCTCAGGTCAAGTGGACAGATGATTGACAGTAACCTTTTACCCTCTGTGATTGGTAATCGTTTCCTGGGTCCCCCTTATCAATTAACCTACTGCCTTTAGATCCGTGTACATTCAGCAACCTTGTGTTGAGTCACCAGGTTGATAAATTTTCCTGTCTGTTCTGTTAAGAGTGAGGAGAGCATTAGCTGTTTGTGAGTATTCATCCCTGAGTTTTGTGAAAATGTTGGGATGTTTTTCTCTTTCTGTCTTTTAAACTAATATAAATAGTTGGTGGTAGAACCCAGTTTGACTGTTACTGTTGTCGGTAAAGGGGTCTTCTATAAAGTCCGAATGTAAACAGGGACTCACACTTTTGGATCCTGCTGCGTGTGGACATGATCAGACACTGCAGTGGTCTACCATGGGCGTCAGTGGGCAGTGATGAGATACAGACTGCAGACTGTTGCTGTTCACAGGACCAAGGTTCTGGTCTGTTCTGGTCACACAGTGACCTCTTCCTGCTTTGTTTGTGTGAGCGTAGTTCATTTACTGGGTAATATTTTCATTCTGACAAA